CTCTTTCTCCTGCGTCTCGGATCCAGGAGCTGGGAGCCGTCAGGGATGACGCACGCACACTCGGCCCTGGGAATCCGAACAGCTCTTTAATTTCACTAGACCCCTTCACCAGGCTTACGCTATTTGGGATTCTAGATTAACCCAACGCTGGGCAGTTACATCTCTGTTCTTAGTTGGAGCCTCTAGGTGAACACCTGGTCTCACTAAAATTGTCAAATCTCACCCTTACGCAAAGAACTATTATTATTTTCATTATTCATCTTGAAAATTATTTGCAGACTTGCTGGCTCACTGTGAATCTTCCAGTATTTTGCAGCCCCGCTTCACATATTTCTGCAAGGTTCTGGCAACTGCCATGCAAAATGAGAAAAGAGTGTTGAGTTGGAATCACAAATGTTTTTCAAGAGAGCTCTGAGACCTGGATGGAGAGAGCAGGGCGCAGTTATCTGCTGGTGGTTGTGACTGACCCTGTTCTCATCCTCTCCAGGGTGGAAAGAATTTGTCATCCTTGTGTCCTTTCTGTCTCCTCTTTGCACTTAAAGGAGAATTGGAAGAACAGGAATCACTCAAGGATTTTTATTCTCAGCGCACAAAGTGCCTCTTCGTTGAGGAAGGGAATAGCTTTCCGGGGGCAGGAACGCGCAAGGCCGCCCCGGGGCTTCCCAAACCTGGCCGCGTGTGAAAATCAGAAGGAAGAGGGCGACCTCCGCCTGGCTTTCCCGGCTCCAGGGCTGCAGACTCTGTGTTGGAGGAAATCGAGGGCTGCATTTCTTCTATTCAGATGAGCTGTGAGTGTGGCCTCGGGAGAACCAGAGGCCCTTCCCAGGTCCGGGCATCCCTGGTGCTGGAGGGAGCAGATGGGCTGCGGGGGCATCCACCAGAGATGCACACTCTCTTTGCTGAGGGTGTGGTCCTCTCCCTGTTATCTATCCACTAGGATTCCAGGGGTAAAACCAAAACTTGGGGAAAAGGTGACAAAGGCAACAGGAAACAGGAATGAAGCCACCTGACAAAGTGAAATTCTGCCATCAGGACCACGTTAGGCATTGTTTTGAACCCCCATGGAGAGAGATGGGTGTGAAACCAGCACCATCGTCTGTGGCCTGCCTGCTGGCATTGCCACCGTCCTAAGCCTGGGTTTGCATCTCCATGATTCATGCCCACTCCACCTGCCTCTCTTGTCTCCCATGAGACCCCCAAGCCCACCACCATCATTTCCTGCTGCCCCTCTGCTTTCCCTGTATGGCTGTGGAGGTGCAGGAATGAGGGAGGGTCCTTCCTAGGCGGCTAGGGCAGGCTCCCTGGGGCGTCTTCCAGTTCACACAGTGATGCCCATGCCTGGCTCTGCCCTGCATCTCCGACGGCACCCGTCTCTGCTGCCCTGGGCTCAGCACCACGCCCCCTCCGCCTGGTCGCTCACCTGTATTCCTCGGCCACATCCTCTGGGCTTGCAGGTCTCTTCTCCTCAGGGGAGGTGCCTTCACCTGCCAGCCCCCGGGGTGACTGCCCACCCGCCCAGCACCATCCCCTGCGGTTACTGTTTCTGTATCTGTGTGCCGTCCATCCATGGCCCCCCTGCTCCCCACATTGTGCAAGGGGAGAGAACTCCACTGTCCCCTCCTCCCTGCCACCTGCACCTGGAACAGCCGGCCCACAAGGGGAACTCGGGTGCCTCCCTGAATGAATGAGAGCACGCCCTCCCGCTGTCCAGTCCTGTGCTTCCAAGGCTTCCTCAGGTATTTAAATTAAGAATAGTATTTAGAGCAGCTCCTTGTTTGCATTTTTACGGCCTGGGAGGACCGTTCATTTTCCTATAGCTCTTCACTCTCTCACCTCTCCTACTGAGGCTGGAAAGAGTCTGGAAGATGCAGCAGCCCTTGCCCTTCACAGACCCTGAAGCCAGTGCAGGCGGCTCTCCATCCCGGAGAGAAGCCCCAGTTCCTGACCCTCCAGCATGGTCTGTGCACACAACACAGAAGACTGCATCGTCCACGAGCCCATCATCTATGCAGACCTCGTATAAAGATGTGTTTACCTTGTGTTGTGGCTGATTTTGCTTTCCTACAATATAAAATTAAAACCAGCATTTACTTTATACGGTATATATAACTGAACCATTAACATAATGTCATATCTGATTCTGCAATTTGTGTATTTATATGGTAAACCTCTTTTCAGTGTAATGAGAAGATGAACGTAAGTATAAGCAGTACCTTTTCATAAACCATCTGTTTACTACTTGGCATTAAGTTGGTAATAAGGAACGCCGTTCCTTTTGCATTGCTTCAGTAGAGTGGAGACAAAAGTTTTGTGCCGCAGGGCTCGTGAGCTGAGCTGGAATATGAGGATTTGTGGTCGCCTCGTCAGCAACGCATCAGGGAAGGTGCTGGGATGGTGGATCTGGAAATCCCAGTCAGAAGTGGCGGGCTAGAGGCTGAAGGGCCGGACCTCTGTGCAGTGTCACCTCCTGCCACCAGGGGGCAGACTCAGCTCGCGCTGGACGTGGTCCTGGACGCCGAGGACTGCTCGGGAGGGGAGGGGCCTGGGATGCAGAAAGGCCGTCGTAGGGCCGTTTGGAGACCGCCCTGCCGTTTCCTTTCCACCAGCCCAGCCCAGCTAAAGCCAGGACCCCTCAGGCAGCAGGAGCCCGGGAGGATCCGGACACAGGGACCCCCGGCGCGGCAGATGCCCAAGGATGCACAAGGGCTGGAGTCACCCTGGCCAGCAGTGGGGCCGGGGGCCGGGGACCGGGGATCTTGTCACCCCTTCGCTTTCACAGGCTGTGGTCCTGGGATGTGAAGACTTCCTGATTTGGGAAAAAACCCTGCAAATGAACTGTTGGCCTGCAAAGCTGGCTTGGAATGGAGACTTTGGTCAGAAAGCACAGGCTGCCTGACCCCTTTCTGTCATTTGCCCAGAGAAGAGGCAGAAGTGACACCGGGACCCGCGTGATGCCCATCGGGAAAGTTGGAGGGAAGGGATCCCGCGGACATGCCGGGGCAGGTGTGAGCCTCAGCCCAGTCCCGGCGGGTGGGAGGCCGGTGTCCCCCATGTCCCCACGTCCCCCCACCCTCGGTCGGCCACCTGCATCGCTGTCGTTTCTTCGAAAGCCACACAAACAAATGGGGCAGCAAATGTTTGAAAAGTGCCCACCCGCGCACCCCTGATTACCAAGTGCCTGCCGTCAGCCCTCGGGTCAGGTCTGAGGCCACGGGGGACCCGCTGCAATTACTGATCAACCCAAGTCCCCAGAGAGCATCATGAGATCAGCCTGAGGCTGACCTAGATCAGCGTTTCTGCTTTAGGAAAAGCCATGTGCCTCCTATTGCCAAGACAACCGATAACTTGAGTTATGTGAGTACGTTCACTGTTTACAAGGCTCGACAAGAATATCACTTCCCTTAAAAAAGATGAATATAAGCGTTTTGCGTTCAGTCCGCCCTTTCATCTGGCCCCCGACGTCCACTTTAATTCATCTGAAGTGTGGTTCAAAGGGGCCACAGCAGAAGCCGCTTCTCCAACCCCCAGAGGTGCTTCAGGCTCTCCTGGGAGGAGCTCGGAGAATGTGCACCTGGGCCCAGGAACCGTCACAGGGATCCTGAGATGGGCACATGGCCAGTTTTTCCTGGTTTGCCGGCCCCTCCCCTGGGCTCAGCCATGGCCGTGAGGGTCATAGCAGCCTGCCAAGGAGTAGGGAACAGACCCCATTGCATCCACTGTACAGAGTGCACAGAAGTGATGTGATTTACCTGGAGCCCCTCCCCCTGCATGCCGTGGCCAGGTGCCGCGTGGACGTAACCCTGCCCGATGCTGTTGGTAACACTCGGCGAGCCTCGGCGGAAGCTGGAGGTGAAACAGGCTAGTTACTGCCTCACAAATACCAAGAAGCCAGACTTCCAAACCCATTTAGGTTGTCGCTTCTTGCCGGCAGAGAAAGGTGGCATCCCTTCGTTCCTAAATTCACGGGGCCGGTGCCAGGTGGGGCACGTGGTAGCTGGAGATGAAAAGAAAAGCCAGTAACCCTGATCCTGTCTTTACTTAAACTTTTGGTATTTGATCACCAAGGATTTTTGCATTAGTTTAATTTGTTTGTTTGTTTGTTTTTGCTTTTGGCGGTACACGGGCCTCTCACTGTTGTGGCCTCTCCCGTTGCGGAGCACAGGCTCCGGACGCGCAGGCTCAGCGGCCATGGCTCACGGGCCCAGCCGCTCCGCGGCATGTGGGATCTTCCCGGACTGGGGCACGAACCCGTGGCCCCTGCATCGGCAGGCGGACTCTCAACCACTGCGCCACCAGGGAAGCCCTAATTTTTTAAATACTGTTTTAAATGTCAATTATCTTGAGGATTGATTTTCTCATTCCTCACCTTAGTCCCAGCCCCAGGGGGGCTGGTTTGGCTTCAAAAACATTTCTTTCTTTGAAAGGATGACCTGCCATCTTCCCCCAGCGTCCACGCTTTAAGACCATGAAACTCACAAAAAGATAGAAAACCTGACGTTTTCAGCTTTCCTATGAACGGGTGGGGCTCTTCCTTGCCTGTGGATGGGTCACAATTCCCCTGCAACTTCTGGGACCTCGACAGCTTTTCTCCTGCCCTGGGCTGTGCCTGGCAGCTCAAGGCCACTGCTGAGACCTGTTGTCACTGTGAGGTGGAGCTACCGCAGGGCCTGAGGGCTCAGAGCCGCTGGCCACATCCACTCCCCGCGGGCTTGGAGCCCCCTCTGTCTCTGTCACCTAAAGACCCTACACACGTCACTCCCGCCTGGCGAGCCTGCGTCTCCCACTTTATCGTTCCTGCACCGTCATGGCTGTGGATTCATCCATTTTCACCCAAAGCCAACCTCAAACTTCTGACTATGATGCGGAATTCCCTACAGAGGGTGCATGGGCTTCCTAGGGCTGAATTTCCAGATAAGGTACCGTTCACAGGTACCGGGGTTGGGCTTGGGCACATCTTTCTGGGGACACAGTTCACACCATTTTGAGAGGTCAGGCTGCGTGTCTCTCCCACGCAGGGGCTGCAGCTCGAACTTGGTTTGGTGCCCGGAACCGGGAGGGAGGCACCGCAGGAAGAGCTGCCACCAGAGGGCACTGCTGCCCAGGGTTTGTCCCAGGCCCGGGTTCCCTCCCCGCCATCAGCCAGGAAACCTAGGGAAACTGATTCCATCCGGAGTGGAGATGCGGGGGAGCCATTTGCCTGTCGGGCTGGAGGGTCTGCTCCCCCTGCATCCTGTGAGGAGCACAGCGGGACTGGCCTTGGCCTCAGTGCTGGTCTCCGTGTCCTGTCTGGGTCGGGGCAGGTGCTGGTCATCGACAAGGGGGCAAGGAGGCAGCCTGGGTGCAGGAGGTCACAGGAGGGCCTGGGGCAGAGCAGAGGGAGTGAGCTGGGGAAGACGTCGGGGCCAAGGCACCATCCTAGCTCAGTGCCCCAAGGGTGCGAGCACACACGTGCACACAATCGCACACATGCATGTACACGTGCATGCGGGCATTGGGAGTAGACTTCCGCCCTTGGCCCTCTACAGTGCGGACCATCTCGGCGCTTGTCACCCTACAGTGTAGACCGTCCCGGCCCTTGTCACCCTGCAGTGTGGACCGTCCAGGCCCTTGGCACTCTGCAGGGTGGACCGTCCCAGGCTTTGGCGCAGTACAGTGTGGACTGTACCCCAGGGTACAGCCCGTCAGAGATGTAGGGTGGGAGACAGCCCAAGCCCGGGGTCTGCCCTGGGGGCCTGACCTGTTGTCTGGAGCCTTGTCTCGGCGGGTGCTTCCAGATCTCTCTCCCAGCCCGGACGTGCTGGCAGGCTCACGTCTCTCTCAGGACTGACACATGCCACCTGACCAGGTAACAAAGCCCCATTCACCCCACGTTCACTTTTATGACCAATATGTGGTTTCCTTGAGGATCCAGCCACTTTGATGTGAATGTTTGTTCCTGCGGATCAGACACTGTTGATCTGAGCAACGGTCCATCCCCTACGGGCTGAGGTTCCTTGACTCCCCACTCCGGCAGCAATTCCAACAGTCTTTTATTGCTTCACAGGTGCCTGCAGCCAGATAAACGGGGCACAGAGCAGTTATTGATAAGGACATTTAATCCCTAACAAGGCCGGGGAGCTTCCGCAGGGACTGGGCAAGGGCACGGCTGGACGGGACCCGGGACCTGGACCCGGGGAGCATGAAAAGGGTGATTGTGAGGGCAGGAAGCCGGCTCACCTGTGCCTCAATTAGAGACACCTGTGTTGACTTGTCCTGTGAGGGGAGCTCATTTCTCAGCCAGTGCGATGCTTATTTACCTGGAGAGACCGGCATCTGCACTCGCCCCTTTTCATCAGGAGCCGACAGCACCCAAAGACGACTTTTTTTCCTTTTAATTTGGGAATGTGGATGAAGGGAAGCAGCCTTAGCTGTGGTTCAGCTCAGATGGCGGTGCTGGGGCTGCGATGGGACCAGAACCACGACGTGGGCTGCGGGCCGAGTTGCGGTGGGCAGGTCCCCGGGGGAGTGGCCAGGGTGCAGGCGCCCCTCCTTGTCACCTCTGTGCAGCAGTCGCGGAGCAGAAGCGGCCACTTCCGGGCACCTTCACTGCGGCTCCTCCAGGTGGCTCTTTCTTTTGTTTGTGGCTCAAAATCTGCCGGGGTCCTTAAACCTCGACAGCCCCTGAGCTGCTCCTACGTGTGAGGATATGCAGAGCTAGTCGGCAGACCAAGGCTTTCTCCTGATTTTCATTACATGCTCTCCAAGCAAAGGTAACAGGTTCAAAGAACGGGCACGGAGGCAGTGAGGCCCTTCAGCCCATTTCTGACAGTCAACGCACAGACCATTTCGTGGCGGAGATGGCTCAAGGCCTGCTTTCTCATACGCTCATTCAAGTTGAGGGTGGGACGTGCGTGGCTTCTCCAGGTGCTGGTCCGAGGTGCTCCTGGTGGTGAAGGAGCTGGGCCACCGATGCCCACACGTCAGGGAACCGGGCCCTGGCTGCAGGGGAAGCCCAGGGCTGGACCAGCCATGGGAGACACCGGTGTCCCCAGCAGTCCTGTGGGGCGCCAGCCGTGGGAAAGGCGGGGAGGTGACGCAGACAGTCATCCTGAGGACCCGCACCCTCCCCTGGTCCAGCTCCGGACACACACTCCCTGTCCCCCAGAGGCTGCTGGGCCTGAACCGATGGAGAGCCGGCCCAGAAGGGATACAATAACCGGCTTGAACATGCGCCCAAAGCAGAAACAGATCCAGACGCCAACCGCAGGGAGGGAGGACACGTGCTCCAGATAAGGGGGGTCAGGAAGGGAGTGGACGTGGGTCGCAGCAGCCCGGCTCCCTGAGCCCCGCTTCCTGGGTGACACGTGACCGGGACGCGGCCACGCAGAGCCCGAGGACAGAGCCGCCCGGGGGTCCAGCCCTGCCCTGCCTGCCCCCGGTGGTGGGGTGGGCTTCCCCTCCCTTCTTCTATCCAGAGGGGACAACTCGGGGATGGACACCGGTCAGAGAGACCCTGTGATGCTGACTGTCGCTGAGGCAGCAGGAGAGTCTCCTTTATCCGTCACCGCTGGTCACTTCCCTCTTCCTCAGGGGACCTCGGGCACACCTCTGCTTGGCTGGGCGTGAAAACTGAAACCCAGCACATCCCTCCTGGGTCCCCTTTGACAGTGGCTGAAATGCCAGGACGCTACAGTTTGGGGTTCCAGGCGGAGGTCTCGGGCTGTGCTCTCTGAGCCCTCGGGGTGCTCAGGGTCAGTCCCTGGGCGAGGGCTGCCCCACCTCCAGCCTCACCCCGACCAGATCGCCGCCGGTTGAAGGGAAATCCTGGTTGCTCATCACAGGTCTCAGGCCTGAAGGAAGACCCATGCTGACCTTGGGCCACCAAGCGGACGACCCGCAGTTCCAGGGGAGGGGCAGGGGCGCAGACCCACCTGCATGCAGCCCAGGTGCTTGATCAGAGCCCTGTCCCTGTGCAGGTGACAGTGTTGGGATGCAGGTCGAACCAGGTGGACGTGAATCTCTTTGCTGTGCTGCTGTAGCTTCGGGCATTTGGGCGATCCTCTGACCTCTGGAGGGATCAGTTTCCTTATCTGGAAAATGAGCATAATCATGCATGCTTCCCAGGAGGGTTCCAGTTAAAGAGAGAGGTGTTCCCTGAACACCTTGGGGGGGGGCCGAGGATGGGAAGGGTTGCCCCCGCTGGCGGTGGGCCTCCCGAGCTCCCCCTCCCCAGGAAGCCTGGAGCAGGAACCCCTGCTCCAGGGACCAGAAGGTCGTCTCTGCTGGATGACCCCCAGGCTCACCTGCTTTCCCTTCTCGGGGCCCCTGAGCCCCTTCTCCCCAGGCTGGTGTGGACGGGAAACTTGGGCCGCGAAATCCACAGCCCTGTTTTTTCTGTAACAGCACAGTCAACAGGCAACTGTCGGAGGAAAATTCGAGACAGAAAATGTTAGAAGCGTGTTCTGGAAGGGCAGCCGTGGACATTAGTCCTCGCCCAGGTGAGATACCACATAGGGAGGAGCTTGAATGTGTGGAGACTTGTGGAAGCTAAGGGGAATTCTCAGGTTCCTCGTGGTGGCGTTCTTGTTTGAAAATGGCCTGTGGATACCTGGTAATAATTCAGTTGTTAGTCTGGTCTCATATCTTAAAAGCTGAGCTAACCACCTTTAATTTCAAGTTTCCTTTTAAAATTGTAAATGAGGAGTTGTCTCAGGGTGACCTGACACAGACCAGATCCAGGTGTGGTCACCCTCCCCACCTGGCCTCTTTGCTCAGCCTTGACACTTGACGCGTGACTGCATCCCTTGGCCACGTGACATTGCTCCTAACAAAGTGATTCAACACGAGCATTCCCGCCTGCATTTCAGAGCCGCGTAGAATGAAAGGTCTGATGCCAGCCCCCGACCCCAGGTCCATCTGTTTCTAGAAGTGGGCGAGATGCAACTGAACAATTAAAAAAAGCAGTTTTCCCTTCTTTTAAATTCTTCCTCTCCATATGTCTGTTTGTAAACATCTTATCAAGGTAATGGTGTCCATACATTGGTAATTTACGATATCGAAGCTAATACATATTCTCCCAGGGCCTCATAAAATCCGACGTTTATAATCTCCCTGTAGTTGCAATTCAAAATGAAAGGCGGCACCGCCGAGCGGCCGGCACATGTGCAGATGGTTAAATGCATTTTTTAAATAAAGGCATTTCTCAGGGGTTTTTTGTTGTTGTTGTTGTTGGTTTTGCGTTTTCATACCACAGGATGCCAAGTAATCTGTTGATTTAGTAAAGTATGTATTTAATCCTCAAAGAAAACTCTAAAAGGGTTAGCATAAAAAGCAGTTAGGGCATAGGACTCAGTTCAGAACCAAAGCCCTCAGGGCTCCCATCCCCTTAGAAGGAGGGGCCGTGTGTGCAGAGGACGTGGTGCCCTTTCCAAAAAATCTGGGGTCACTGCACTGCACCGACGCAGGTGGCCTTTCTCTGAAGGTTCCCTTGAACTGGGCAGGAGGAAAACCCGTGTTCCAGAAGGGACAGAGGCAGACAAGCCAAGGTCGCTGTAAGCCTGTAATCACGCTGACATTTCTGGTGAGCATTTCTGTTCCTTCCACCAACCTTTGGCTGCAAAGTTAAGAGGTAGAAATCAGTGAGTTCTCAAATGCAGTGTTTTTATCTCCTGTTGACGGTGGCTTTCACGCGCTGGATGTTGAGAGTGAGGTGTTCCTCCTTTCCTTTGACACCCAGGTCACCTCTGCCAGCACCCACTGCCCTTTGCTTAGCAGAACCTCAACGTCTATATGGTGTTCACCCCTGCGGCCCACCGGGCCACACACCGAGAAAGTGTCAGCTGGGTAGAAAGGGTCCCTTCGGCTCACCTGGCCTTTCAGGTGGGTCATCACCCACAGGCAGGCTGTGGACTTGCTTGTGGATTGAGATGTGTGAGAATTCTCTTCCTTGCTGTCCAGTTTGATGAACAGACCTTTCAGATTTTCTCTTGTCCTTGAATTAAATGTGTACACGTTTCTCGCACCAGCATTGCCAAATCCTGCCAGGACTTGGTGAGCTGAGCCTCTCTTGCGAGGTCGTCCTGTCCCGTCTCTGACCCCAGCTGATGCACGGTCTGGGGGACATCAGTGGCCCCGGACGCCCCTATTTTCTTGTGGCCGAAGCAGAGAGCATCCTTGCTGGCCTCTCGCAGAGCCGAGAGGCCCGTCATGATCAGCTGCTTTCAGCCAAGTCTGCTTCCAGACGCCTTCCTTGACCACCGCACACATCAGCATCGGAATCAGAACCAACCCCGAGATGGGGGACTTAGTTCTGTAGCAGACGCTGTAGTCTGTCCTCTCCCCCAACACCATGTCTCCTTCCCGGCAGAGTGCAGGATTTGCTCAGACACCCCTGACCCCCTCCCCAGATGAAACAGTATGTCTCAGAGGAAGCTGGTCTCTCCCCGGCTTTGGGGTCAGCCCAACTTGTCCCAGGCAGGGTTTCTCCAGCTCAGGAATGTGGACTTGTGGGCCAGGGAGCCCCCTGTTTGGGGGCATCCTGTAGTGTGTTACATGCT